CAGAGGCTGAGTGCCTCTGCTGCAGGGACAGGCTGACAGCCGGGGTTGCTGGAGAAGGCTCCGGGGAAAAATGATCGTGGCCTTCCAATAGCTAAACAGGGCTTATGAAAAAGATGAAGAGACTTTTTCCATGCGCATGGAGAGACGTGACGTGGTGTAATGGCTTTAAACCGAGACAGAGCAGAGTTACAACGGATATAAGAAAGAAATTCTTCTCTCAGAGGGCAGCGAGGGCCTGGCACTGCTGCCCAGGGCAGCTGTAGGTGCCCTATCCCTGGGGGCAGTCAGGGCCAGGCTGGATGGGTTTGGGCACCTTGTCTATGGGAGGTGCCCCTGCCCACAGCAGGGGTTGGAACTGGACGGACTCTGAGGTCCCTACCAACCCACCCATTTTGTGACTCTATTAAAAGGCAAGCTGCTCAGTATAAGGCAAATCCAAAGCAACCTGTGCTGTAAACAGCCAAATAACAAATAAAAAAAATGTTGTCATTTGGTTGAAAAGGTTTTCAGAAAGAAAAAGGTAGCTATGATACAAGGTTGTGTGATCTTCAACACACCTAAGTTCCAGAAAACAAATCCTAATTGCACCCAAAAATGTTTTGAACTTTTCTATTTGGCTTTAAGTATTGAAAACAACCCAGTGTGAGTTGTCTGCGCTAAAATCCATTGTCCACCAATGAAGAAAACTCCATTTGATATCTTTCCCATCTGAAATTTTATTGACCTCTTTTTTTTTTTTTTTTTTTTTAAGGTGTAGTTTCCATTTCAAGAAGCACAAACCTTTTAAAATTTCTTGAATTACAAATGAAAGATTTTCTAACAGCTTTCTGCTTGGATAACCAAGATGTTATAATCACAATATAATTGCGTATAATCAATAGATATCAAGATGTTATAATCGCAATATAATCAAGAGAGTAAGGCAAAGCAGACAACGATCACAAAAAGAGAATAAGTGGAAGAGCTTACCCTTGGGTTGAGCTCACCAGAAGACACCAAAAGAGGGGATCTCCAGAAGAGATCCTTCCCCTCTGGTAGCCAGCTCTTAAATAGGTCCAGGTGCAGCCTGGCTCCACCCCTTCCGGCAGCACAGGTGAATTGCCTTCACCTGTGCTCCTCTGGCTGACTCATGGCTCACCTCAGGTGATCAATCAGAGGTTCAGGCCGTGACTCAGCAGTTCCCATACACTGCTGTTGATCTGATTTTTAGGTGGGAGCTAATCAGGTTAATTCCCACACATTGCAAGCAGGCAGTATGGAATGACATCACGTTTGAGCCTTCTTTATGAATGACAGTAATCAGCAGATTCTCAGTCTGAAAAAGTTCAATATCTGTACTTACCTCCATCCACCAGCTTTTCTGTTGTACTAACTTGATATGCGCATTGCTCTCCCCTGTCTGCACTATGCTGGACCAGGTCCAGTTTCAGGATTAGAACATCCAACTCTGTTGTTATCGCTATGTGCCTAGCGCAAAATGCAACTTCGGCAGGAATGAAGTTATCAGTGTGTAAAATTAAGGAGCGTTCACAGTCCAATACTGTCCAATTCTGGTTTATGACCAGGTATTTCAAACAGAACATGACTAGCTTATTCCTGCAGCCCACAAGAAGATCTCCATTTACAGGACAACATGAAATACACAGCGGAGGATCTGAAAGTGCCATTTCCACTATCGACATCTGCTCTTTTAAGGTTTCGGTGTACGACTCCTCCATCTTGTGACCCACCATCCGGACACAAACACGAGAACTGCCTGCAGACATGCATCGCCAGTTCACATAAGCTCTTAGGAAAGTTGCTTTGCTTTTCTCTTCAATCGTCACCAAATAGTCTCCTTATGGTAAAGCAGAAGGACTGTTAAGTCGTTAAAGAACACACGACAGCGTTTGAGCTGCTTACCTGCAAACCCAATAAAATACATTACAAAAAGTATCTTAAATTCTCAGCTCTCACATAGCGTTCCAGAGTACAGCCTTTACCGGGTTTTCTTCAATGAGAGATCTCGAGCGCAAATTAATTCGCTAGGTAAACGCACTTCACGTGCTGTTAAAGGAAAACACGCGGCTCCAGAGCTCCGACGCTACTTCGACGTGGGCCCACCGTAAGAGCAGCGCTCTTCTCAGAGGAGACGCCGCGGCCGGGCAGCAGCTCCGGGCTCCGCGCTCGCAGAGGCCACCCGCCCGGCACTGACCTGCACGGCTGCGCGCCATGCGCAGCACGGGGCCCAGGGTGGCGAAAGAGCCCAAGGGCTCGCAGCGGCCCTCGCGGCGTACGGCGAACACCTCCACCCCGCAGCTGGCCGCCGCGCTGGCCGCGAACAGCACGTCGCGGCCGCGGCAGAACTGCGCCGGCTCCTGCTTGCAGGGCACTACTCTCTGCGACCCGAACGGGTGCAAGTTGTAAAGCCGCACCATGGCCGCCGAACACCGGCACCGCTCGGAGGTTTCCTGCGGCGGCGCCCCGCCTCGCCACCTTCCGCCTCCGCGCGCCCTTCCGCAGCGCGCGGCGCTCCTCGGGGGCGGGGCGCAGGACGCCGAGCGCAGCTCCGTGCCCCGGGAGGCCCCGCCCGCCCCCTGGACA